AATTTTAATAATAATTTATTTATTGTACTTACCTTCCATAAGACAAATATTTTGGTTTTACTCGGAATTCCTTGTAATATGAAGAATGATAACCTATTATATCATCATTCCAACTTTCGGGCAATATCACGTCCCGATATTTATGTTTATGATGCTTTCGAGCCATAAGAAAAGTTTTACTTGATAAAAAAATTGGATGATTCCCGAAGAAAATTACACAAAAATTAATTATAATGAGAATAATTAACAAAAAATATTTCTCAGTAAAAAATTTTCGACAGGTTAGCTTCGTATGAGTACCTAAATAGAAAGGGGCTTACGGTCCCTACCACCATGGGACAGCTGAGGCGCATGCGCGTCGATATCAAATTCGTTCGTCAAACTTGGATATAATTTGTAAAAGAATATGGTTACCTAATTGTACGATTATTAATAAAGCTTAGGTATAAAAATTAGCTGGTTAGTGATAAATTCGTACCCCCTAGTAAATGGTACATAATATAATATAATAATATAATTTTATTTGTAGGAAAATTGTTGCTTAATATTTCTTATAAAATCATTTCAAGATTAAACTAAGAAATTTACTGTTAACAATAAATTTTTGATTATCACCAAATCAACGTGTTTCGCACCTGCTCAATCTCTTAACAATTAAGATAGAACATTTTCGCAGAGGAAAAAGTTGGTCGTCTCGTAAAAACGAAGTTACTAAAAAAAATTGGCTTGTTATAAACAAAAAATGTGCCACCATGGAATTGATTTTTTAAATGTAGGTCCTAGAAGACTTATTATGTAATTTGTAGGACAATATGACCACTTAATTGCACGATTATTAATTTATCTTAGGTATAAAAATTAACAGGTTAGTGACAAATTCGTATGCCGCAGTAAATGGCACAGGGTGGGCCGTTTATCTGGGGACACTACCTCATTTTAGAAAATATAGGGATGGAGTCAATTTTTTTGTATGTTTGTATGTTGCATATACAGAGAGTTCCATTTTTCGTTGGTAAGTATCAACTTTTTTATTTTAAATGGAACACCTGATATATTACTTCATTTTTGAATTATATACAAAATTCTAGACACATTTTGTGTATAATGTCCTATACCTAAGTCTAACAGTTTTTGACAGTTTTAATTTTCTATGCGAAAAATGACATTTGTAGGACTTAAAATATCTGTTCGGAAGCATTTATTGTCTCACTTCAGTAAGTTTTGTTGTAGTAGACAAAAGACTCGAATAATGGATTTCATGAGAAATATCGATACATACAGAGGGTACGCCAAAAATAAGATTAAAAATAAAATTAAAAAACTGCCCTTTTTTTTTTAATGGAAACCTATTTTTATAATCTTGTCATATTTAGCATTAAACATTAAGGCAATTTTATATGCGGTTGTATATGTCTAATATTTTTACTTTTTGAAATATTTCCTTTTAAACATTTGTCAATCGCAAATAATAATATGCTGTTGCCATATAAGTTCAGTTAATGTAAGGTGGCTATGACGGCGTTTGAACAAAACAAGTGCTAAAATGCTGCCACTATGATTTACCACTTCATAGTTGACCATAATCTTGCCGATGCACTTATGATGAAAGGTTATTTAAATGTATGTATGCATTATTTATACACAATAAAACCAAGGATACGCGATAACGTTGGTGAACGATAAAAAAATAATAACTTGCAAAGGATAATAAGTTCTGTTATTGTTGGTCGATACAAGTAGTATGAAGGGTTTCTAAATACATAATCATTTCTAACAGATTCACTCCCATTTAAATATCCGACACCTTCTTTTATCCGTCGTTTAAATTCGTCGGCAGTTAACAGTTTCTGTTTGTAAAGTAAAGCTTTAAGTGTACACCATAAGGGTGTTAAGGAGCCCCTTGGAGACCAGGCGTAACTACCATTCTCCCATTCCATTCTCTATGCGCATTTAAATAGGTGCAAATTTCTTGACTTCTAAATTTTGTAGTTTCCTTTCGGGCACTTCACTTTCAACAACGGGATGGATAATATCTAAAAGCTCTAAGTAGCGTTGGGAATTTAAGTTCCCATCAAAAAATACTAGACCTATTATTCTGAACCTTCAAATAGCGCACCTTACTTGGACAGAAGTTCTACCTGATCCTGTAACTTCCATTTGTTTTTTATTATTCTTGTTGCTCCAGTAATGGGTAATTTTATTTGAGGTTGTAAATATGGAGTCATCTATCCAAATAATATTAGCAAATATATTTTCTGAAAAGTGTCGTTCCACAAGATTGTTGTAATCCCGTTGCTCCAATTTCTGAACTGGACAGAATTTATGGGTCTTTCAGTTGTTTATTTGAAGGCACGTTAAAACCGTCATTCTTTTGACATCTGGATCTAAAGACACATTTCGGGTTGACTCTTCAGGAGTCTCTGTAAAATGCAACAAGGTGCTTCTCATCATTGAAAATATGACGCCTACTTTTTTTCTTTCTTCAAGGTTCCATATAATCTATAGTGTTGGTAAATTCTGTCGAAGACCTTTTTTTTCTCGGCCGCTTCTTAATGGGAATTTTGAGGAATAATCTCTAAAAGCCCGCTATTTCTCTGTGGTAAACATGATACGCAAGCAAGCGAATAAATTAAAATTATAAACGATAAATAAATAAATCAGTAATGTGTCAAAAAATATTTGAATTATGACAGTAATCAACAACAAAATACAAGTCCAAGGAGGCAGCGTCCTAGCTCTTGTTTTGTTTAAACACCATCATTGACAAATGTTTAAAAGGAAATATTTCAAAAAGTGAAAATATTAGGCATATATAACCTCGTATAAAATTGCCTTAATTTTTAATGCTAAATATGACAAGATTATAAAAATTGGTAGTTCCCATAAAAAAAAATTGGCAGTTGAAAAATGAAATTAAAAAATTTCATTTTTAATCTTATTTTTCACGTACCCTGTATTAATAGGTATCGAAATTTCTTATGAAATCCGTTATTCGAGTTTTTTGTCTACAACAAAACTTACTCTAGTGAAACAATAAATACTTCAGAATCAAGAAATTGGCAGATATTTTAAGTCTTGCAAATGTCATTTTTCGCATTAAAAATTAAAAATGTACAAATAAATTGAAGATTTGTAATACCCTAATTAATTTTTGTAAATAAATTTTTGATCAATGTCCTATAGTTTTTGAGATAAGGTGGTGTCCCACGGCCCACCCTATACATGATTGGGTTGGGAGACAACAATGATCACATCATTTGTTGATTAATATTTGTTATAATTTTGCTATTTCATAATTAAACTAAGAAATTTACTGTTAGTAATAAATTTTTGTTTATCACCAAATCAACATGTTTCACACCTGTCCAATCCCTTAACTATTACGATCCAACTTTTTCGAGGAGAAAAAAGTTGGGCGTCTTGTGGAAATGAAGCTACACAGAAAAATTCGGCCTTGTTATAAATAATTTGAAAAAATAGGCCTCGGCCCATTGACTATAATCGCTATCTTGCTGTATAGGATGATTCTCATTCTTTGAATTACACACTGTGCTGCCGACATTTGTTAAAATCCTCTCAAACAAAAATTTTAAAAAACAATGAAGGTTGCACATTGCTTCTAATCATTTCAGGAGTAATTTTGTTTTCCACAAAAATAATTAAGCCGTAGTGACGTTTTTCTTTTTTTTTTGCTAATATTTCTTTTATATGTGTATGTGTTTTAATGAAGTCTTTTACATTTATATTGTTTTGACTTTGTTTTGAGAATAACATGTAGCTTGTAATATATACGATTTATTAACATATATTAATGTTTATTGTGATGACGAAACCTTAACTTGTAAAAGTTCCCGATAAATAAAGTTCTTAATCTTATTCTAGTTTTAACAGTTACCTAAATTTCCTACCCAACATTTAGCAGCTTCAAAGTCTGGGGTATTTATGACGAACTCCTGACTTTTCGGATCGTAGGTGGCCGTGGTTCTCATTTGTTTTGTGTTGCTTCCGTGTGCAATTTCCGTCAGGGCGATGCACGCCAATACCTGTAAATAGAGGCAAAATATACCGAGTGATTCAAAAGACTCGCCGAGAGTTTTTGGCTACTTTGGCGGAGTATGTCCGTTATTTTTATAGATATAAATTTGCTAAATTGAAAACATTGCATTCTTAAGCACCCCTATCTCAACCATCAGAAAACTTATCGAAAATGTGGAAACTATCTCTTATATTCATTCCGCCTTTGTAAACATTATGCTGGGCCAAATATTGTTGCACCCAACTTTTTTATAGAACATCCTATATATTCATAGATTATAAGATTTGTCTTTTTTTACTTTTTTAAAAATATAAAGACAAAATATATATATAATTTAATAGTAAGCTTCGGCTATTGTTTATGACAACTACTACTAATAATAATAATAATGGAAGCTTATGGAAATTATAATATATATATATATATATATATATATATATATATATATATATATATATATATATATATATATATATATATATATTTTTTTGACGTATTGATTCACGGATGGAAAAATGTGATGACACTATATTCCGGGATATCATCCGTTAGCTTGTTGAACTCCGGCTGGAATCCTGCACACGTTTCGCCAAAATCTCACTTCGAACACACTATTTTAGCTTTCACTTTATTATTATTATTTGTAATTATTTATTTATTTTAAGACTATCAATATAAATTTCAAAGATATTTATTGCAGGGTAGCTGAAAAAAGCGTGACGAATAAAACATATACTTTTTAAATTGAACACTCTACTTTAAAATTTTGTTTTAAATTAAATTAAATTAGAAATATTATAATTTTTCTAGAAAAATTACAGTTTTCACACTTGCAACAAATTTACGGAAGGGCCGTTATTTTTAAAGGTAGGTCACTCATATGTGATATTAGCGTTTTTCGAAGATGGTTTCGATTTTCGTAAGTGGCATACCATATATATTATTATTTTTTCTGAACAAAAACCTATAACTTGTATTAAGTGTCATATACCTATTCTTAATACTGTGCGATTTACTATATATTTTCCAATATTTACCCTCCTTTCTGTTTAAGACTATTGCTATAATAGTAGTTTGGTCATGACATGACTATTAACCAACCGGACTGTGTTAATATTTAAAAATGAGCAGGAGAGGAACGTTACCGGAGCAGTAGATAAAGCAACAATCCATACTTTTTTTTAATTTGCTAAAATCATAATAAATTTTATGAATTTATCTACTTAGATCTTTCAGACAAAATAATAATATATATGGTTTGCCTTTTCAGAAAATTCAGATTTTTCAATTTACAATGATCCAAATATGTTCATTTATTTTGAATACCCTGTAGCATTTAATATAAATTCCGTTGCATCAATCGTTAAGTCGTCTTCGAGTAACTCTAATATCAAATATTAAAAATAATTGGGTTGTAATAATTTTTTTGCAAGTATGAAAACTAGTATTCTTTTAGAAAAAAAAATATTGGAAAAACTATTATATTTAGGTATGTATTATCATTAATAAAATAGTTGAAGAATTTCAAAATGAAGTCGAAACAAAACAGGCTGTTCCACTTAAAAAAAATGTATGTTTCATTCGTCACGTTTTTTGAGCCACCCTGTACACCTTAAAATAATTTTAAATTGTGCATCCTAACAATCTTTACAACTTTTGAAATCAAAGAGATAATTAACTCTTCTTTATCGTTGCCTCATCCTGAACATTTTTTTATTTAGTTTGTGGAATTACGAAATCAATAATTTTGCAGAAATTAGAAATCAATTTTTGCGTTAATCATTTTGAACATTCCGCATGGGGGCAATTTAAATACTAAGAAATATAAATACTCCGGAAGTTTCCGGTATTTTAGTCACGGGATTGGGAGCGATCGGATTTTTTCGGATATATTAGCCATGGAATTTTGAGGTTTGCAGAAAAAATGTACCCAAAAAGTAATGGTCACAGAAAAAGTATAGTATGCCACACGTTGATAAACTTCTTCTCTTGTGAAAACAAACTCCTAACTAAAATGCATTGTTGCATAATATAATATTGTATCTAACAATATTTTTCCTCAATCTGCAGTTTTGTAAATTATGGTATATGTAGTATAGGAGTCATCTTGATATGAATATCTTGGAATTATCTTTACGATTAATATGGTCCTATGATAAAAACAAAAAAAAAGTAGGTATAACTTGATTCTTTCTTGACAAAGTATGGTACTTACTAAGCATAATTGATTGCTTCATCATTGCGGGCACCCGTCAGCCCTACTATATTTTTGTGTACATAATTAACTTTTCGGAATGTATTCTTAGTGTATCGAATCAAAACTGGAGCCCTAAATATCAAATTTACCAACAAGTTTTGGCGCTTCTCTATTTGTTCGTTTTTCTCTGATTAAAAGAGCAAACTTTTCAACTCCAGTCACGCAAGTGAGTCAAATAGTGTACATTTAAAACAACAACTTTTTCAATTTAATAAATATCGTCATTTTGGCGGTAAATACTTAAAATTCTTCGAACTATACAAATATATTTACAGAGGCCCTACCGTAAGAATATTGTAATTACACTCTCATTAAAATGAGATTCATTTCCCTTTACTCGTCTGGTAAGATGGCCGATTTGTTAGTATCGGATTAACGATAGAGATTAAAAAATGATTTTATTGATTACCGACGCCTATGCGAAACTAATTAGAACTCGACGAAATTCCCCATTTTATTACTCTACACTTCTCTGAAACAGCTTATAGATATAAAAATTAATCACAGCCTCCTGTTCCTAAATTCCAGTAAAACTGATGAAATTTGCCGCAAGCGTAGCTATTCGCGACTCACGGGAAAAACGTACGTGCTATCTTACATTATATTTGCTTTTAATAAATAGTCTAAAGATAAAAGCTGAATTCGTACTGCGACATTTTTAACCGCAAAGGAATATTTACAAAAAGCCAGAGTGGCGGAATTTTATCTCTTCTTTAGTATCGAATTGATGAAACATAAACATTGTGTAAATGTAAATCTGCAAAGTAGTATATCATGCAACAAGTGTGTTAAACGGCATTTCAGTCACATGTTTATTTGGCACGAGCAGAGGTCCGAGTGACTTTAAAAGTTTACCAAACGTGTTGCATAATATACTTTTTCTACTCCCGTCTGTAAAATACCTAATTATCCACCGATCTAGCGTGCGGGAAGCGTCACTTTACCACGTCAGTTTCGTTTCCCATGAATCCGATCCACTTCGGACATTTCCAGGATTTTACCGCACGGATTTGGAAGCAGATGTTTTCAGAGATATTTCCCACGCTTTGAATTTTGACGTTTGTCAACAACAATTTACGCTATTGGTTAAGCTAAAAAAACTTACAACTTCTATTAAACACACTACAATGAAGGTGTAGGTAGGTATTTCATCGGCATCTGAGGGATTTTTATTTTACAATTGAACCTTTTAAAATAGATATCTTTAAGTAATGGGCGCTGCTCTTTTCTAAAATTTCAATGCGATTTTGCAATTACAATGCAATTACTTTTTATCCTAATAACTACTTAGATAACTTTTACTTTATGATTCTTGGGTATGCTAGGTAGCTGGTTAATTTTTTGCATAATCCAAAATGTTTTAATTGACAATCATATCCTCAAAATAGTCGCAGCTGAAGTATTGGATATAGTATATTATGCGACAAGTGCGGTAAACGGCATTTGACTCACGAGTTTATTTGACACGAGCGGAGTGCAGCGGAGCGAGTGTTTAATAAACGAGTGACTTAAAAACTTTACCGAACGTGTTGCATACTATACTTTTTCTGCGACCGTTAGTTTTTGGGTACATTTTCGCCAAACCACACGAATACATTCACTAACATGACCTTCAGAATTGACAAACGTCAAAATTCAAAGCGTGGGAAATATCTCCGAAAACATCCGATTGTACCCAAACACGTGCGGTAAAATCCCGACAATGTATGAAGTGTCTCGAATCTGTGGAAAATGAAGCTGACGTGGTAAAGTGACGCTTCCCGCACGCTATATCGGTGTGTAATTAGGCATTTTACAGACGGGAGTAGAAAAAAGATATTAATAAATCATATTGAATAAATTTAAAAATCATCAATAATTTTAGCTGTGGGAACAATTGGGCACACGTTTTTATTAACCTTTGATGATTCGTGATAATCGCCGTATGCAATTTTCCTAGTAAAAGGTACCTAGATACAATTTTACTATGACCGCAATGATTTACTTAAACACATTTATGATAGGTTTGGCTCTTTGATTAATTAAAATGCAACTGAATCTTTTAAGTTGAGTCACTGTAAATATTAAGAGATGTATTTTAAAAACATTGTAATGTAAACAAATCATAATTATTCTCTATGGAGGAAAATTCTTTCTCCACGTAAAGGCTTGGCCGGCCTCCCCCCCGCGCTGCCACGAACGCCACGATACGATTTGGACTAATGAATGTTTGGACAAATACGGCCATCTCGCGGTAAAATCCCGGAAATGTCCGAAGTGGCTCGGATTCGTGGGAAATAAAACTAAAACGAACCTGGTAAAGTGACGCTTCCTGTATGCTAGATCCCTGTAAATTTAGGTTTTTTTTTTGTGATATTTTTAGTGAATGAGTTTCTCTAAAAATAGCTTAGATACAGCAACAAAAAAGAAACATATTATCATCATATTAAACAGAGGCATGCTAATTGCTAATTATATCAAAAACAAATAATATCGACAATATAGAGAAATAAAAAAGCAATATTATAACAAAGTTCCCATAAAAATAGATTCTGAAATGCATTAATTTCAAGATACAGGGTGTCGCGGTATTTTTTAAATAACAGTCAAATTTAGTTAGGTAGTTATTTTGGCAGAATAAAAAAAACATTATTCAAAATATTCCTATATTCCTACAAAATTATCTTGGTCCTGGAATTTTTTGTCATAAAATGACGGTAAAAAATGACTCTCCGCCTTTTTTTTAAAGACAGTGTACATTCGAGTTAATTTAGTTCTAAACTAAACCAAACTACGCTTTGTTAAAGCACAAATCAACATAACTCTTTTAGCTAGTTCTCTTTTAGTAGATGTTTAATAAAATCAAAAAATTAAAAAAGAATATTTTCCAAAATATATATACTGAGAATGACCAAAATATGGAACAATTCATTAGATTTTAAGAAGAATGGTCGTTTTTGTCGAATAATAAAAAAATCTTGACAACCACTAAAGATAGGTATAGGAAGGTATTATTAAAATTAATTATAATAATTATTATAAAAATAATATACATGGTGTCCCCTTCCATACCAATACCAATACCTATACGCATGTAAAATGTCAATGAACTAACCGAATTGCCGTTCCAAGTCCTACATTTTCGCCGTTAAGAAGAAAGGAAGTATCCAAAGAATGTAGAAAACAACTTTGTAATTGAAATGTATCCAAATTATCATTTAACGAAGTAAAAACCAGTCTGTCAAAAAATATTTTGGAGTATAATTTCCTGTCGAGTACCCAAGAGGAAAAGATTTCCACTAAAATTCATCGGTTGCCATGGTGATCTGTTAAAAAACACGTTTGATTGGGTAAAAATTACAGGATAGAATTTTTACAAAAATAATTTGTGTCCTTGTAAAATTTTGCCGATAAAATATCAGATAAAAGGGGGAAGGGAAGAAAACATATATAAGCAGTTTCTTCAAACTTGCACTTACCTTATTATTCCATGCGGCGTCAAGGATGCGGTGGTGCCTTTCGGTGCCCAAAGTCGTGAGCGTATTTTTGAATAATCCGACCCCCACCGCGTGTTTAACGGAAACATCTGGAAATGTAACGGCCAGCGCCTCATTTACAGTCATCATAAACCTAGTCTACCAAAAAAGTTTTAATTACTGAAATGTACTAAAACTGCTCGGCAATGATGATGGTGATGCGAAACATTGCTCGGAGGGTCTGAAGCACGTTAAATACGCTAACAAACATTTTAATTTGAAATTTTCATTCCACTGTTACACACTGGATCCCTTTAGGTTTTCCCGGTCTGTGATATAAATACCACCTTTACAAATATGCAGTGCTTGCGTAAATTTGTACGCTTGGATATAGCAAGTAGAGAATTAACATGTCTAATTTTTGACATAAAAACAATATCTTACCTTTTATAAAGGTTGTTCTATTCGCATTCCAATTTTGAAAACATTTCATTAGTCAGTTTTTGCAAGACAGTCAAATTAATGCTGGCAAATGTTTTATTACTTTTCCAAATTAAAAAATAAATAGTTCATCATTTTATCAACTATTTAATTAAATATTCCAAATTGGCATCTTGGCATTACGCACAGTTGTTGGGGAAATGACACATTTGCAACTATGTCTGTCAGATCTCCAACTGAATTAGGTTTTGTAACATAAGTTGTACTTTTTAGATATCCCTAAACAAAAAAGTTCCGTTAAGCCTAGCGATCCAGCAGTTCGCGTCTTCCAATCCAATTGTTAAGAAAAGAAGTATTTGCAATATTGTCTTACAAAGCTGACTAATCAAATGTTTTCAAAATTGGTATGCGAATAGAATGTAAAACACATCTAAAAAGAGATGTCATGCGACCCCTCTTACTATTAAAACAATACTTAAAATGGCGCAGTGCTGACATTTTGAGATGTTATTTTTATGTCAAAAATTAAACATTTTAATCATATAAAAATGGTTTATGTATAGTTCAGCACACGATAAATGGTCGTGATTTCATAAACGGAAGCCCCTTTAACCTCAATAAACCCAGCAATAAACTAATGAAAAGCCCATCATTTGCGCTTTACCAGACATTGTTTTTTTATGTTGAGACCGCGATTTAAAGAAAATTTCAAAAACGGAATGGAACTGAGTAACGAACTAATATTTTTATATCTATTATCACGTACTGTTTCCACGTATTAGAATTTTAAGAAACTGTTGGAAATGGGCATGGAAGCTGCCATTGGAGGGACAGTGGAGCTAACTGGCATCTCTAGATCAACTGTTCGTCGTTAATAATGATTCACTAGAAAACAAGTAAAGATATGACGGAGAAATAATGAAAACGTTTAGGACTGGTGATATGCAGAGAAGTGTATGCCATAGATGAGGGTAATGAGATTCCATTACTTGAATAATGGCAACCGAAATTAAAAGAAGGTTGAGTCCAAACGCTTTGCTACAGTCAACAAAATACATTAAATACTGCTCGTTAAACTAGCAATAGATTGGGTCAAATATTCTCTACTTCCAAATATCCCACCAGACAGCGTAATAGTTTACGATAATGCTACCACAGCACTTTAGCTCAAAAATACCAACGATCGGCAGCATAAAAGAGGTATTGCATGTGTTCCTTGATGATTTTGATGATACTTATCAAAAAAATAACTAGTTGAAGTTTTAAGAACAAAATCGTATCATAAAACAAATTTCGTAGATGATACAAAATCCGGTTCTATACCCCTTAATCCACCAAATTATGCCTGCGATTTGAATCCTATTGAAATAATATGGGTCGAATTTAAAAAAAAGTTAGACGCAATAACATAAATCCAAGAATGTCTTTCTCGGTATAGTACAAAACATATTCTTATGATAAATTCCAAAAAAACACAAGTTATGCTATTTGCTCCCCCTGGAAGTTATAATTTTTTGCGGGATCATATTAAAATTCAATTGGAAAATGATGATCTTAAATTTACAAATGAAGCAACAAACTTAGGAGTGATAATGGATGGTCAATTGAGATATAGTGGCCACATTTCTAATTTATGTAAGAAGACTTATATATCCCTGAAAACGCAATATGCAAATAAACATATATGGAATTGTAAAATGCCAAAAAAACTCGTTAAGGCATCCCTGCTAAAGTTATATACTGTCTGCTATTATACTATGATACTGTGCTATCCTGCACCGATTTGATTTAGTGACCCAAAAATGAATACGAGCAAATAAAAACGTTAATGCCATTATTACAGTGATGACCATTTCTCGTGTGTCGGACTATACTAATAGTGAATTTCAGTTCTTTACAGGGTGTTTCATTTTACAAAAAGATGCAGAAAAAAATCTGTATTTCGAAAATGCAGGATCACATTAAATAATAGCCTGTATAGGATTTCTACGACAAGTTTATTTATTTATTTACATAACTTAGCAAACTCAACAAAATGGTTGCAACATAAGTGATAATTTCCGAAAAACAAGTCAGAATTTCTGACATGAGTCAGAAATCTGGGAAACATGTGGGAATTTCTGAGAAAACAGTCAGAATTGCTGATTTAAGTGAGAATATCTGACATAATGCAGGAATTATTCTGATTTTTTTCATAAAGTTAGAAGATTTTAAAGTGTAAAAATAAAGATTGACGGTTTTAGGTTTCTTGAGGTGATAATTACAAATTTGAAACTGATTTGGAAGTTGCTCCTAGAACGGGCTAGTTTCGCCATATTATTTAGATAAATCGAATCATATCTGTCTAACTCTGGTTGAAACCTGATACAAATCTGAAAGAAAGAATTCTCATTTCTTCATAGAAAAAACATTTAAAAAGTTCAAGTTCAAAGTTAGAATATGAAGAGTTACGGGGAATAATAAAAAGCTAATATTTAAGAAGTAATAGTAAAAACAAATATTAAGATTATAAAGATTATAAGAAAAATAACAATTTTGATTCATTCCTCAAAAATTTTCCTAAATTAAAACCTATATTTTATTTTTGGTAGCCTTTCAGCGGTTTTGTACTTAAACAAGGTCAATAAGAATTATTGCTTGATAAAGTATGTTAAAAAAATTAAAAAGTACATTCCAAATAAGATAAAAGAACATAAAAAATAGCCTAAACAGAAGAAAAAAAAATAATTAAATATTTCTTACCGCCACAATAGTTTAAAGTGAAGATTAATCATTTGGTTAATTCTAGAATAAAACGGATAAGATTTTGAAAGTTTTAGCTTCAAATGTCATGATTCTTTAGTATTTTTATGCACCAAAATTTGTTGTGTTGTTAGTTTAATATATTGATAATAAAAGGATAAAGGATAAATCAATTGGTAATGTGGGATTTGCGAGTGTTCCAAACCTTTTGGTTATGGGTGGTTATTTTTAAGGGTGAGTAAGTTAAATTGATGAATTCTTTCAGACTGAACTGTAACTACCAGAAAAACCCTATGTCAAAGTGGTAAATTTTGTCGAAACTAAATCGCTCATTGTAAAAACCTTATAATATGGGCGTGCTACACTCTGAAAAGAGGTAAAAGAAATCTTTGTTTTTGTTTGATTTGTTGACTTAATGCAATAGAAAATTGAGCCTTTGAATGAAAATCTTAACAACTGATGGTTCCTTATTAAGATTAATATTTAATTTATTAAAACATTCCACCAAGCCTACTATTTATTTATAGCTCCGTTTAACTAGCAAATCATAATTATTACTATAATTACATGCGTGACAGAATTTTTCCACAAAAGTTTTTTAACCGTACTATAATTAAATCAATTGCATATTAGTAGAAAAAAAGTTGCAAGTCAGTCGAATATTTTTTAAAGGACATTTATGGACACCCCATTTTAATGAAATTCAACAGTCCTACATGGTGTCCAACATAAGAAAGATTTACGAAAAAAAAGACCAAAATGTATTATTGTTTTTAAGGAAATTTTTATATGACTTGTAGGGATAGTGCGAAGGACAGGGGAAACTTTTAAAAATTAAATGTAATACATTTTTTTTGGATAAGGATCCTTTACGCAGAAAAATAAGAACCTATAATAAGGAACACAATAATCTTAGACCAATAGGTAGAAATGGTATCATTGTATAGTCATCCACCTAAATTTTCACCTAAAAAAAATACAGAAATCACTATGCTCTGTTCATCAATGCGAGAGAATAATAAATCATAATCAAACTGTAAAACTTAGTGGTCCAACTCGTTGAAGGTAGACGACATATTCCTTGGTGTTTCAAATCAGAACTGCAGTTATGGTCCAGCATACGATGACTTCCCTTGCCTGGCATATTATAAACGGGAGGCCCTTTACCTTCAAGGAACCGAACAACAAACCAATAGAAATTTTAAAATTTTAAAATCATCAGCACTCATTAATTGTTATGTTCTGACCATGAGACGAGGAAATTTTCGAAGACCAAACTTTAATTTACTCTGTTTAATGATGACTGTCATTGCTAATTCAAATTTTATTACTCTCTGTAATGTAAGTTGTGTATTTTGGACAGTCTGTTGCTATTACATCTAGAAACCTCCGAATAACATTTTGCAACACTTTGCGCAAGTCAAACAAGAAACACATTTTCGAATGATTTGCGCAATAATTTATTATTTGGTTAATTATTTCGTATATGTAGATAAAAATCGACAAAATGCCGATGGGAAGCGAAATACTTTTTTTTTAAATATTCAATTGTTTCTAATATTTAAGTTCTTGTATATTATTGCCACCCCGCATAATTAACGTAATAGTGCAAGTAAAACAGTTTAGAATTTCATTCATTTCAATTCGCCAATTTTCCCATTACAAAATATTGTTTAAATTTGACAACAAACGACTGATCTAAAAGATAGCCATAAATCGCGCCATAAACTATTTATAACTCGATCTATATATTACACCGAAACACTTCGCCGATTTTGTTGCGGGAAATTTTCCAATTTTAATCAATAACGCATGTTTTGTATTAGGCAGGGATTAAAAGTTTACTCAGACAAATTGTTCGTAACGATTTTTTCGTTTTCAAAAATATTCCGCCAACTTTAATTGCAATTTGTACTTATTTTACTTACTTACTTTACTTTTTACTTTAAGTATCTAAGTATATATATAGAAGAAAA